AGGAGGAGGAGGAGGAGGAGGAGGAGGAGGAGGAGGAGGAGGAGGAGTTGGAGGAGGAGGAGGAGGAGGAGGAGGAGGAAGTCACGCTCGGAGCTCGGGCTTCCCCCTCGCCCCCGGGGAACGCCTCAGACGCACATTCCAGCCAGGAAGGCGCGGCGACGGCGCCGACGATGAATCCAAAGTCGGGCACGTGCTGAAGGCACGGTGGCGGATCTATTTCGAACCCGTTTGAAGATCTGGTGCCTCGGCCCTGCGCCAACCGTGCGTTCGTGCACCGCTTAATTCCGGAGGCCTGCGGCGTACACGCCCTGGCGACTCAGGAACTGCGGTGTCGACCGATGCGTCGACCGATTTCTCGTACCGTTTGCCGCCATTGAGATTTGCTCGCGGCCAGGAGTTACAAGTTTTCTCGCACCCACAGCTTCGCCCATCCAGCGGAGCAGAGCAGAAAAATGCTGCCACTGTAGAGTCAAGACGCCGAAATGAGGACCACCTTGGGTTCGTGAGGGGCTTTGGTTTGGGGGGCTGTTCCTTAGATCGGGGATCCTTCGGAATCCATAGGAACCCCTAGGAATCCCTAGGAACCCTTAGGAATCCTTAGGCCTTAGGAATCCCCAGGATCCCCAGGAATCCGTAGGAATCCTTAGGAATCCCTAGGCATCCTTAGGATTCCATCGGAATCCATAGGAATCCGATTCGTGGCCGTGGTTCGCCGTGGTCAGAAAAGCACCTTCGTTTCTTACAGTCAGCCCGCACAGCAAAGATGGGCAACCTTCCCAAGGGTGCCCCTTGCATCCTTGCCTCCTCGGCCATCCTTGGCCACTTTCGTTGGCCGCGCCCCGCTCGAGAAGCTTCGAAACGGCCCTCCCAGGCCATTGCGTCCTTCTCGCGCATCCTTAATATACGGGCCGACTGTACTTGCCGTTCCTCATTGCAGCACGGTGACTGCAGCTCCCCGCGAGAGTCCGCGCAGCACCCAGGGCCCCCGCCGCGAACGCGGGGCGTCGGCAAGGGGTAACAGTGGGTACACACACAACACACACACACACACACACACACACGCACACGCAAACGCACACGCAAACGCACACGCAACACACACACACACACACACGCACCCACGCACGCACGCACGCACACACACAAACACACACACAAGCACACACACACGCACACACACACACACTCACACACACACACACACGCACGCACGCACGCACACACACACACGCACACACACACACACACGCACACACACACACACACACACGCACACGCACACGCACACGCACACGCACACACACGCACACGCACACGCACACGCATACATACACACACACGCGCAACACACGCGCAACACACACACGCACACACACACACACACACACGCGAGCGCGCGCAACACACGCACACACGCAACACGCACACACACAGACACACACACACACACTCACACACACACACGCACGCACTTGTTGGCGCGCAGCGTCGAAGCGGATGAAGTCGGGCGGAGAGACCCGCGCGGCCGGCCCAGAGGTTCGCCCCCCCCCCCCCCCCCCCACACCCCACACACACACACACACACAACACACCCACACACACACAACACACACACACACACACACACCACACACACACCCACACACACACACACACCACACCCACGCACGCACGCACGCACGCACGCACGCACGCACGCACGCACGCACGCACGCACGCACACACACACACACACACACACACACACACACACGCACACACACACACTTACACACACTTACACACATTTACACACATACACACGCTCTCACACTTACACGCACACACACACACGCAACACACACACACACGCATACGCACAGACATACACACACACACGCAACACACACACACACACGCAACACACAGACACACACACACACACGCACACACACACTCACTCACTCACTCACTCACTGACTCACTCTCTCTCACACACACACGCACACAGTTTTTGGCGCGCAGCGTCGCGGCGGAGAAAGTCGGGCGGAGAGACGCGCTCCGGCCCAGAGTTCGCGGCGTCGGGACCAGGATCTTCCCATAAGGGATTAACCAACACACGCACACATTTTGAGCGTCGCGGGCGGGGCAACGAGGCCGCGCGGCCGTCCGGTTACAAGACACACAAACACCTGGGTGACCTCCGAAAGGCCGAACCCGCCCGCCCGCCTCGAGCCCTGTCATCACTGTCCTCCGGCCCTCGTCCGCCCTGCGCGCGGGGACCGAGCGCTCTGCCGCCGGAGCGCCTCTCCTGGGCCGAAGCTGCGGGGGCGCGAAGGCGGCCGCGCACACCGCAGCGCGGAGGCGCGGCGCGCGAGGCTCGGCGATCTCGGCCCCGTCCTCCGCGAGCCCCAGCGTCGTCCGGCCTCGCCGGCCACGAGGTGCGGGTCGGAGGGTTCCGAAGCAGCTCCGCGGGAGCCGGCGGCCGCCGTCGGAGCACGGATACAGGGCTCAAGTCGGGCATGTCCCTCTACAGGAGGAGCATTCGAAAGCAGTCCATAGATAGCGTGGGGGCGATTTGTTTTGACTGCTTTTGACTCTTGTGGGATATCTGTAGAGTTTTTTTTCGATTCGTTGCTCAAAAGTCCGCCTGTAGGGGGACGTGCCCGACCTGAGTACAAGTGCCCCTTCGCCGCAGGCCCACGGCCCTGTGGAGGCACCCCGGAGCGGAGAGGAGCAGCCCAGGGCGGCAGGCCTTTAGCACGAAGGACGCAGGGGCACACCCTCCACAGCCAGAGCCTCCACTCGCAGGTGAATAGCTCTCCTACCCTGACGCGTCGATTAAGGAATCGGCCGCTTTCGGTTCGCGAGAGGGCGTCGCGGCCGTCATTTTTTGCGGTTCCAAGTCCGTCGGTTTCGGTCCCAGGCCGTTTTCACTAAGGGGAGGTTTACTAAAGGGAGGTTTGTCCACCGCCGATCTACGTAGAGCCGCGCTCAGGACCCATGCCAGCTGTCAGGTTGAAGTCGGGCCTGTCCCTCTACAGGGGGAACGTTTAAAAATAATTTGAAAAATAGTCTGGGGACTATGTTTCGATCATTTTTGGGCTATGTTTGAGCATTCTCGGGCTACTTTTTCCATTTCTCGCCCCGAAATCCGCCTGCAGGAGGACATGCCCGACCGAACCCAGAGCTGCTCTCGAGACCCGTGCCGGCTGTCAGGTCCTGGGACCACCTCGCCGTGAACGCGGCGGGCCTGTGGTGGTTCGGCAGTGCCCTGGAGGACGCCTCT